CTCTTTCAGCGTCTCTGAGAGCGTCTCTCACAGTCTTTCACAGTCTCTCAGTTATTGCCTAGGTTTTCTTATGGATCTCTCACAGTCTCTGTTATTATTACATAAATAAATAATAATTTATTTAATAAAATAGAATGAGGTATGTGTACGAATGTATGTACTACATACACGCGTTAGAAGTTATACCTACTTCATTTACTTAATTTTAATCCCTAGACAAAAATTTTCAGTCTCTCTCCAGTCTCTCAGAATCTTTCAGCGTCTCTGAGAGCGTCTCTCAGTTATTGCCTAGGTGTTTTTATGGATCTCTCACAGTCTCTGTATGAGAGACTCGAACGACAAAATTGTTAATCCAGAGATTCGAGTCTCTCACAGAGAGACTGAATGAATAAAAATGAAAAATTGAGAGACTCGAGTCTTTCGTAGAAAGACTGGGATCTCTGAAACACGTTGAGGCGCCACTTATTGAGAGATTCGAGTCACTCGTTCAGAAACTGGATACGAAATGAGGATCTCTCTATGAGCAACTCGAGTCTCTCCTTTAGAGACACTAAACAGTTTTTCTGACAGTCTCTCTCAGCGACACCAGAGAGACTCGATGAGAGACGGAGACTCGAGTCTCACTTTCAGAGACTGTAAGAGACTGAACATTTTTATCTCGGAATTTCGCATGCAAATTACTTATTTAAGTGGAAGAAAACGATAAAATGATCGATAGAACAAAGATATTAAGTATAATTAACAACGATTCGATTAAATAATATCACCATCATGCAGTATCGCCTACCAGTGCGAACTCACCCAAATGGCGAACAGAAGCAGCCACTGGAACCAGAGCCACCAACTCTAATAAACTAGAGTTCAAACTATAGCCACATTGTTGGTTGGGTGGCAGCTATCCCGTAAGAGGTATTTTAAAATGTCCTGGACAGTGGAATACGCGAGGGGCAGACATTGCCTTCATACTGTACACTTCAGAGACAATGACTTGAATATTAACCATGACGGCTAGGCCTACGATTTTTTTAATGTTTGAGTAAAAAGCAGAAATCAATGAACAAAGGGAGCTTTGCCACGACGCAACCCAAGGTGATGGTCCATGAAATTCTAAACTACCCTTACCTTCATACTGGCGAATTTTGATTGTTAAAATTTCGCTCTAAACGCGCTAAATGGTCCATAAATCGAAAAATGAAACTGCGTCTTTTACTAAAGAGAGTAATATAGGTACATATATGCCAATTTTAATAAGATGCAAACACTTGAAATTATCCTCACAGTATGCAACGACACGTTTTGCTATTAATCCGTGAGAAGATTGTTTTCTACGGTGTGTATACGAATACGTAAGCTATACTGAAATCTTAAGTAATTTTTACACACCATAGGTGTAGGTACCTATTTTTCTTGGATGCCCTACATTTGTACGATTTGGGGTGTAATCGCTTGGATATGCGGAAGGGTCTAAATGGAGAATGTGTCCTACATTGTTCCCTAAGTAAAACAGCTTTAATATGGAAATTCTTTTAAAACGTTTAGGAATAGGACAGTGAAGGAAGACGATAAAGCTTAAATGATACTGGGAAATGCAAGACACGTTGCTGGAATTTTTTAATACATCTTGTAATCTAGTTTAGAACGTACTAAATATGTGCAACACTGTTGTGAATTGCAGAGAAATTTACTAAATTACGTACTTGTTGTGTACAAACAGTAAATACTAATGTTATTTAATGACAATCGCGTTTAATACTATGTTAGAAGAATGTAATAAGTTTTGTTGGTACAATAAAAGATTGTCCAGAGTTTACACATTGAGAATTACAAATCAAGCTTTTTCAGTTTATGGAACGTCGTGTTCCTGTTCAGAATTCGAGTATATTCTTTGAATTTATCGAACTGCTTCAAATGGAATGTATACAGTAAAAGTTCCTTATTCACGGTTTCCTTATTCGCGGGTGAAAAAATTGCAACCCAGTTCCTGTATTCGCGGTTAAAAATTTCATTATTCGCAGTTGCAGTCGGTAAACAGAAAAGGACTCGGTGTCATTTATTAAGGGGGATTGGCCGCAATAGACCGCTCGTGCCTCGTGTGAATTTTTCCGAAAAAATGTGTTTCTATTCTAAACATTGTGATTTAACGCTGCGAGATAAATATCTAATTTTTTTTGTATGGTAACAGTCAAAGGTTCCCACTAACTGGGTACGTTTTTGGTTTTCAATAATATGGTCATTAAAAGCTTTTACAAGTGCTTAAAGTTGATGCTTATTGTAGGGCACGTACTTTCAACAGAAATTAAAAAATTAAAAAATGGTCTTCGACAAGCTTTACAGCAAAGCTTTATTTATCTTACTACAAAATTTCAAACCTCTATTCCACATATTAAACACATGATATCTAGAACCGATAAGCATGATTTTACTCTGCGGCGCGTGTACTACTGAATCCCCTTAATGTGTCGGCATTTTTTGAGTATGTACTGTACTATTAATTTTAATTGCGAATTTATCAATACATTGATTTTATTTTGATACATATTGGTTTTATTTTGGAACCTTAGAACGTATCCCTTATGATTCCATACTAATTAAAATTAAAATTTAAGTATTTACGTAATTGTGATTACTGAAATACAAGAAGTGAATATTGTTTTAAATATTATTTATGTGTGTAAATTATTCTATATAACGAAAACGCCCTGTATATTACGAAGCTCTGATTGATTATTATTTTTGTATACAATACAATTAAGAGAATAGGAGATTATTGCTTACAGGTTTGCAGTACTGTGTGTTCCAAGGATTGTCGCAGGACGTCCATGGAAGCAATGTACTAAACGAAGCAAGAAAAAATCGCAAAGCCCATGCAATAATGACGTTGTAATAGAAATCAACGTAAAATGCTATTAGTACAACAGAATATCCTATACCTGAAAAAAAAAAATTGTTAATATTTAAAAGGAGACTATGGTGAAGTAAACAATCAAACTAACGATAAGAGAACTTACTCCAAACCCAAATACTTTGAAAAAACGCGTAAATATGGAAATTCTATGTGATGCTTCTGTGTAGGGTGTGGCGAAATACAGGGTTCGATTTCGATTTCATTGTTAATCAGTTTGTTGATGTTATTTCATTTTTTTTCTCTCTGACGACAATTGGGAGTATTTTATCGTTTATTGCGTCTGCTTTGTCGGACGTGGTATGTTTTCGTGGCAATGACGCATTTTAAGTTTTCTAATAGTTTTGAGACGGGGGGTTGCTTTCGTTTTTTTGATGCGATCAAATAGGATATCTAGTTGTTTATAGTATCATGCCAGTCACTCCGTCTTGTTGATAACTATACTTCATTTACTTTCTCTAGCGATTTGCCCCTTCCAATGTCTTGGATGCACGCTGGCAAAAGCGTAGGTAGGGAGAAAAAAGCTCATTATATTCTCGACTCTTGTTCATTAAACATACTTTTTCATACAGTACCTGCCAAAAGTTTTGTTCAATCATGAATAGTAGTGCGAGTCGAAAACAAGCGTTAAAGCCTTTAATATGTCTTCAAATATAAATAAACATCTCGTTGATATTTTCAGTAGTAAATGGTACCAATAACAGCACATTTGAGCAATGCAATTGTATTGGATAAAATGGTCAATTTTTTCGTGCAGTACTGTACGGATTATACGTTCCTCATCGGTTAAGAGTTTGGCCGAGAGTTGTCTCCTTTTTTTTCTGGCTTAGTGCTGTTCTTTTCTACCTTGCGCCGGTCAAACTGAAGGTCACATCGCTACAGAAAGTAAACAAAGTATGAAACCAATAGCTGTATTATTTCATCTTCTATTGTCTTCATTTCGCCTGATATGTTATCTACCTTATAATCTACTTCTCGCCAACCTAACCTAACCTACCACTTCGCACGAAACTATAAGTTAATGGGTCAGCGAGTACTCCAGCATTAACTTTAATGGACATGAAACACAAGGTCTTTTAGAGTAGATAATAGTACATTATTTATATTTCAGTTAAACAACGTTATCGTTTAAATCGAAGGAAATACAGTACAACTTGAAAATATTTCTTAGTGCAGGCATGAAAATTATTATTATTTTTTAAATCTAAAATGTCTGTATTGTATTGGTACCGTTATTTAAGCTCAATAATGTTTAATGGGCATGAAGTATTATCTTAAAAGCTATTAATGGCTTTTATGCTTATATTTAATGTTACCTCACATAACAATTTTGATTGTTGCTTTCTTTTCCAAATAATATATTGTAACAAAGATACCATGAATAAAAGAAAAACCATAATCGCTACGTAATAACACAGAAACAGAAATATGAATACAATATCAAAAGATTAAAGATATAATCAATCTGATGGAGTAAATGATGTGTTCAAAGTATAGTGGTTCAATTCTTTTTAGATAAAATACATTTGCATGTATGTATATTGTAATGTTCGTGGGTTTAACAAATTAACTTTTAAGAAGAAAACTATTTATTTACACTAATTATTATTGAACTTAAAAACATTATTAAATTATTATCAAACTTAGGTAATTATTCTATTTATTTACACTACTGTTCTATTTATTTCACTTCTATCACTGTCAATTCATNAATGAAATGAAAGCAAACAATTACACTAGTTCTAACTAAACGGAAATGTTTTTGAATTAAAATAATTGTCAAAATACCGATATAATTAATAGCACTGAATACTTGTAATAAGCCGAATAACAATCGTCCTAGGCTTAGTAATCGATTTGTCTAAATTTCCGATAGTTATAGGGTAGGTTTTGTTTATATAAAACTAAAATGGTAATCGTAGAATGCAAAATGCCGGTAGAGACAAAAAGAAGATTGCGTACTATTTATTAAGCAGCACATAAGTAAGTAGGTGTTTCAAAATCATGATTTCTATAATTCTTTTAGGTAGGAACTTAATCATTTACTTAGAGATCTATAGGCTAAACAGTATTCAGAACTAAAACCCAACAATGTTACGAGGGCATGCTGAAAACTAATGCACAAATGCGTGTATAAAAAAGAAAAACGAAAATTTACATAAATATTAAAGCGATATTTACAATTTATCCCACTAGTCCGTTGCGTCGTAAGCGATAATAACAAAAATTACAATTTGGACCCAAGTAAAAATAAAATCCCAGCAGAAATAAATTTACAAGGTATCTTAGTTGATATTACAAATTTAATTGTAATAATTAAGAAACTTGAAATAATTTTTAAAATCGAAAATTGTAATTTTTTAGTTGTCATAAAAATTTAGTTTTCTCCGTGTGGTAGGTTTCTCATAAATTACTTAACACTAAATAATTTATCTTGTTTTCGATTCGGTTCACGCATTTTTGTAATGTAATTCGGTGCGGCTATCTCGTCCGATTTTACAACACTTATACATGTTAAATCGGAATTTTTAATTAAAAATCATAAATTTTGACGTTTTGGACGTGTTTAAGTGCTAATATTCGATCGTAGAAGGATCCATGAACCTGTGAACGTAGATTAATTTAGTACAAATGGTTCTTAAGATTTTTGTTTCGCAGACCACTTGGCTGCTTTTCTTCTTTTAGGTAGATCCCTGCCTTACTAATATTGAATTGTTACAAATTCATCAACTTCAAATACGTTAACGACTGCTAGTGCTAGTCACTTTGATTACTTTAACCACAGAGATTTAACTGTACATGTTATTATTAACTGTTATTAAGTTTTATAAAACAATGCAAATTATAACAAAGTTTGTTCCTATGTTCCCTAATGGGAGGGATGAAACCCGTGCTCTAACAACTTTCAATATGTTGCTTCAGTTTGGTTAAGTTTAAGCTTAAATCTCCTCATTGGGTGATTCCCAACCTGTTTATTTTTTCTTCTGTCTTTTCTCATGATATATTCGACAGTGTTGTAGATTTAGAAAAAGCTTTTGACAATGTTAAATGGAACAAGATGTTAAATATACTTAAAAATGTAGGAATGAGTTACAAAGATAGAAGAGTGATAAGTACTTGGTTTATATGTATAAAGAGCAAAAGCAGTTATAAAGCTGGAGCAGCAACGTAAAGAAGTAAATATTAGGTAAGTAGTCAGAGAAGGATGCACACTGTCATCGCCACTTTTTAATCTATACATCGAAGAAGCGATCAACATCATTAAAGACAGTACGATTTTAGGGATAGATATAGAGGGGCAAAAAGATTAGTATGCTTAGATCTGCAGATGATATAGCAGTATTAGCACCTAACAAAGAGGAGTTAGAGATAGCTTTAAATAAAATGGAAGCGGTACTGGCAAAACAATACAGTATGAAATAAATAAAAGTAAAACAAAAATACTAGCATGCAAGGGAAGAAAAAGTAGGAAAAGAGAGATTATTAAAATAGGAGAAAGTCAGAACGGAAGGAGTGGTAGGGATATAAAGCAGAGGATAGCGCAGGGTTGAGTCGCCTTCAATAAAGAAAATAGAAGTGACTATGCTCACGAACGGTTAATTTAGAAATTCGAAAATGGTTGTTAAAGGTGTGTTTGGAGTGCGGCGCTGTACGGGCCCGAAATATGGACAATGGGCGCGGCGGAAAAGAAAAGGTTAGAAGCTTTCGAAAGGTGGTGCTATGCACGCGAACGGTTAATTTCGAAATTCAAAAAAGGTTTTTAAAGGTGTATGTTTGGAGCAGGGCTCTGTACGGGTGCGAAACATGGATGGTGGGCGCGGCGGAAAAGAAGAGGTTAGAAGCGTTCGAATAATGGTGTTACAGGCGAATAATGAGAATACCGTGGATAGAGAAGGTTAGAAATGAAGAGGTATTAGAAAGATTAAGAGAACAGAGGACTCTATCGAATTCAATAAGAAATAAGCAAAATAGATTACCTAGTAGGACACCTTCTCAGGCATGAAGGTCTAGTCAGAGACATATTAGAGGCAGAAACGGAAGTTAGGAGGGGTTGAGGCAGACGTAGATTAGATTACTGTTCGCAAATAATTAAGGATGTGGATTGTTCTAGTTTTAGGGAAATGCGAAGATTAGCTCAGGATAGGAAAAAGTGGAGGTGCGTGTCCAAGCAGTCTTAGGAATGACGACCTTATGATGATGTATGTATTTCTCTGAAGTCAAAATTTCTTTTATCCTTTTCTGAACTATACCTGTAAATGTATACAGGGCGTTAAAATGTAGCATCCAACCTATAGGTTTTAGGTTATTTGTTGCATTTTGAAATTTCTAGTGGTAGTTTAAGTTTAAAAACTTTTAATGAACGGCTTACGTGAAAAACCCTGTATATTCATTATGCATGTTGATGTAATCCAATTACAGAAAACTCTATTTGATTTTCTTGTAATAAATTATGGTATATCACTTAAGCGTAACCATTAGAAACCTCTTTCTCTTAATAATTATGCAAAATAAAGCCAATTCCTGTTTTAGCCTTAATGGCCTCCAAAACTAACTGAAGTAGTTTAATGATAATAGCGTCAATTGCGACGTTCTTATTGATTGTCAGATAGATTAGCGATTTTGAATGCACAAGGATGCTTAAGTACAACATCAAAAAGCATTCAAATGCCTAAGTGGCAGGATAAATTGTCATGGAGTTATTTCAACAGAAGCCGCTTTAAGAGAGGACGATCGTCGATTCGTTCTTCTTTTTCTTGTTCTTCGAATACTTTCACGGTCTTCCCGTGAGTCAATTATCTGGTCTCCGCTAATCTGCGGAAACGACCCAGGATATGGCTCGAACGGATTGCATTATTGTCATGACAGCAATTCTCGACCACTCTTTTAACGCATAAAGAAGGGAATATAAAAGGGATGGATGATGTGTCGGCCGCAAAAGAAACCCTGCGGGACGAAGATGACGCTACTACCATCGGGGCACGTCCGGAACCGGGGCCAAGACGACTTATCGCATTAAATCTTTGAGAAAGAGACTTTTCTAACTTATCCTATTACTATTTCATGGAGAATTACTTCAATTCTTTATTGCTTTATGGTGTTAGTAGGAGTTATTACGACGAGCTACAATCGATAACGTGCATTAATAAGTCGTATTGTTTCCGGAATTTCTAATGTTCTACATTGGAATCAAGAAAAAAAAAAGCATTATTTAACGTTATAGTTTTAATATCAACAATCTCATATAGAAGTTATGTCATAACCAATTGTAGTTTTGATGCTTACAGCACAAAACGTAAAATAAAAAGAAAGAACGGACAGACAGACACATGAAGGATCCTATAAGGGTTCCGTTTTTCATGCGGACGTACGGAACCTTAACCCGAGAACCAACTTAACATTGAAGTTGAAAAAAAGAACATGTTCTCCCATACATTCAAATTACAAATGTAAAGGATGGGTTTCAATAACCTAACTAATCTACCCTGTAATTCACGAAAAATTCAATAATAGCATAGAACCCAATTAATATAGTTTTTCAAAACTAGATTATATACTCCGTGTGTTTTGGGTAATATTTCTTACCGTTCGTAATTATCTTCGTTTTTATTTATAGTTTAAAATTGAGTATTTTAGGGAATCTTTTCAAGTAGTTTTTACATTTTTTTTATACATCAGCGCAATCTTCCAANCGGTAAGAGAAGCTTATATTTCGCAAGGCTATTTTTAATTAATTAATTTATTAATGTTAAACTTATTTAGAGGATATCTTCAATAATTCTATACTATCACGGTTTAGGAAAGTGTTCATCTTGTATGACTACAGAATTTTTATTCGTATATAGGGAACTCTTTACCACAATAAAAATTACTCTCTTTAACAACCAACTAGATTTAGGTAACTCCCCGATATTAAATCCTTTTTTGTTTGAACGTAGAATCCCCAACTCTATTTAGTACCCATGCTTGGGTAAAAAATACGGAAAATTAATTTTCTGTGTAGTTGCTTATATGTGACCCGTTGCTTGCTTTTATCCTACATTTCATAATATTGGTATCGTAATCGCGATTGAAAATGTTAATTTTCTGTGGTAATATGTGGAATGTGAACGTTAAATATGGTTTCCTACAATCCTTTTCAGAAATCATCTTTATCCTGGCCGACCTCAAAACGAGACCGACTTGAGCTTTTCGTGTGAGAGTTCACTTTATCTTGGTCATTGGACTAAGATTTTCTAATGTATTTTGTGATAAATGTATTTCGGTTAATTATTTTCAGATTTGTACCACGTAATGAGACATTTGTGTCATTGCTTTTATAGAGTTGCTTTATTATTGAATTTTCGGTTGGTTTTATTGAATAAGTTAAAGTAATATTGAGTTGCCCTTTTTTCATTTTAAAACATTAATTTTGTTATTAAATTCTTGATTCATTTTAAGTCATGAGTATTTTATTTTGTTCTTAACTGTATAGTATCTATGAGGTTTGTGTGCTTGAGCTTGGAAGTTTTGTAAATAATTGACCAAATTACCTAACTAATCCGTATAAGTATGTATATTTTCCCAATGTTTATTCCCCTTGAGCTCTTTTTTAGAATTTCAAGAGTATTTTTCGCCGTTAAGTACTGAACGAAAATTTCCGTTTACTTATTATTTATTTATTCTAATTGTTTAACCTTAACATTGTCTAAATTTAATCACCATCATTGTTTATCTTGCCGTGTGGTACTATTTAATTGATTATTTGTTTTTTTTTTTATAAATAGCCCTAGATTAAGGTGTCTTTTATACTTGGGGATATGGGTTTCCAATTTCTTAAAGCACTTACTTGAAGCGACGATTTAACATGGAGTGTGAACATTTTTAGATATTGTAATGTTCGTGGGTTTAACAAATTAAATTTTAAGAAGAAAACTATTTATTTACACTAATTACTATTAAACTTAAAAGCACTATTAAATTATTACTAAACTTCGGTAATTATTCTATTTATTTACTCTAATGTTACTATTCACTGTTCTATTTATTTCACTTCTATCACTGTCAATTTATCTCCTTATTCACTTCTGCAACGGTCAATTTATTTCTACTCTTTAACTTCTGGAACGACGGTCAATTTATTTCTACTCCACTCGGCGATCGTCTCTTCCTTTAAATACTCCCTTGTTTCCTTTCGGGAACTTTCTCGAGCCGTCCAGAGAAGTCTCGTTTTCTTTGAACGGTTTAATTGCTTTTCCGGAACGCAGGTACGACACACATTTACGGATACGGCGCACATGAAGAAAAGCGCCCGCGGCTAGTCGGCGAATCGATAAGCCGCTCACACACACGTATGCCCGATCGCACACAATCACGCTCGTGGTCGCTACAGAATGTACAGATAAGGCACACACGACGTTCGCAAACTCGTCTAAACCACACGAACAATAAACAAAAATACTTATTCGAATATAGGGTCTGCTTACCCTAAAATATAAATATTAACCTACCCCTTTTTTCATAACCAAAACTGAAATACATTTTTTTTTTAAACTTTCTTTTGTAAAAATTTTGGTCCAGGCATTCGGTGGCAATAAAAATTTAAAAACAAAGAAATCACAATTTTTCACATAAACTGCCCACGTAAAAGTCGACAGTGTATGGCCTGCATCAATCGTTATTTCGGTTATAGCCTATCAGCTTGAATCTTGATTCGGATCGTGGAAATCTATGTTCTGATACTTATATTCCATCATAGTCGTACATCAGGTACAAATTTAGACGTCAGTCAGTACTTTTTTACCATTTTCCTTCATACCATGATCAATTATTATTATTATTATTCATCATATTTTACAATTTTCTAACAGCAACCTCACTAAATGTAATTAATAAGTAATCTAATTCTCCCATCAGCGGTGTTTTGACCACAGCTAGTACTACATTGTGCTTTATCTATGGCCCTACGACCGAATATTGCCATTTAAACACCACGTGCAGCGCGACAAAATATTGACGATTTTTAATGAATTTCGATTAAATAACATTTTGGATATCGAAGTTAGGCCTGCAGCATAGTTCCATCCTTTGGTTAAACGTTTTAATAGTTAGATAATTCCAGAAAGTCGGATCTTGGGGGTAGATGACCGCAAAAATTATTATCGTTACAATCTTATACCTACGCTTAAATCATAGATCTAAGCATTTAATTAATATGAGTTATAAAATCGTCATGTATAAGGCACCTGTATAAGTACATATTTAAAGAAAAAAATCGTAAAAATTTACCTTTAAGAAGTGGACATAGACGGCCCCAACATGTAATGGCACCTTTTCGATGAAATTGCCCTAAAGCTAGTTCCATGTAAAACAGTGGAATGCCTCCAATCACTAACATGATGCAATAAGGTACCAGAAAAGCCCCTGAAAATAAAACTAAATTAATTAATGATACCAGGTCGGGCGTCAGAGATGTCGAGAATGATCAAGAAGATAAAAATATAGGGAATTCTAACGTATTACATTGTGTTTTTATTGCAAAATGTTTTTGAAGTGAAACTTCTTTGGGCTCGATGGGAGTAAAATCTCAAGGCCATGAAACGACACGTTTTGCAACGTTTTGTCTCGCGACGCGATAGGATATGAGAATAGAGAGGCGCGCATGCGCTTATCGGTATGAGAGTCAGCTGTTAGTGATCAGCATCTCTTATATTATTGTATACTGTATATTCAATATGCTATAGTGCTAAATTAATGTTTTGGTTATATCTATGCAGTTATATTACAGTAAATGTTTATTTAACAATGTTCAGATTTCCTAGAAAAAATATTTGGTCTGCTCCTTTTTGAAAAATATACATTTACAAGGGCTGGGATTATACCTGCTAACTTTCTCTTTGGGGCATTATGGGTTGTATGCAGGCAGATTGAAACTTGAAAACAAGTAGCAATAAAAAAAGGTTCAAGGAGGAGGCAGGCAGTTTTTCGGAAATAATTTCAGAAAGAGAAGTACTTTGCTTTTCATGACGAGTAGGCGCTCTCGTATCGGGTTTATAATTCAAGGAATATAATTTTGGGAAATCTGCACATAAATAAGGTTATGTGTAGGTTAAGGTTTTATACATTAAGTTTTTGTACATAGTGTTGTATTTTGGAAAATACAAAGCTTTAACGCAACAAGGGTTTTTAATTTGACAATACTAGTCCATTGGTTCATCCTGAGCTAACGAGATGATGTGTAGCGAATTACGCACACAAACAACAATTAATATTTACTTAAGAGTGAGTATTATTATGTATTAATTCTAATTCCTTGTACTTATTGATAGTTTACGGTTGCTTAAGCACTTGGAAAAATAAACGGAAGCGAAAAAAATTTAACCATCTTTTTGTTATTAAATTACATAAAAACGGATTAAAGTAATACTCTTTAGATGGACTAAAGATAAAATATGCTGGAAAACATAAATCCTGAAAATTCTCATACTCTCTCTTTCCTTCCCCAATCATTACTTATTCGTTATAAAGGTATAGAGATCGCCAAAGAAGTTTCACTTCTTACACGTGTACTAAGTTGCACCTGTTTTTTTTATCTTTGGTGGATAATTCGAAAATTATCGCTTTTAGAAAAAAATGTTCTACACAAAAGCCAATCATGTGATAATTCTGAATATGGATTAAACATTTCAAAAATTGCAGACATTGTTCAGTAAATAAAATGCGTTAAGTTAAAGTTGTTCAAATCCAGTGATATAGTGAAAAAATTTCGTTAATATTCATACTACCCATATTATACTGTTCGTTTCAAGAAGTTAGATATATGCCCCTTCCCTTCATTAGGATGCGCCGTAGCATAATTCCAAATTCAATCATATTTGCCTGCGGAGCTCATTTCTCCACCCATCATCGAGCGAGAACTAGACAAAAGTGTACAGTACCATTTGCAAAATTATTTAAATTGCCTCGTTAAAATTTAAGAATATGCTTTATTTAAAAGCATATTTAGCCAAAAATAATAACAAGTGAATTAACTTAACGTTCTACACACCTATAAAACTTTTGCTTTGTTTTCTATTGTTAATTTATATACATTTTTGTTTTAAGAAATTGCTAAACATTTTCGTCTAGTACTGTACAGTTCTAGCCGATCTCCTAAGACCGCCCATCGAGAGCTCTGCTCGTTC